GACAGCATGCTAAGGACGTCATTCTGGATTGTATGTGGTTTATGCCTCTGTTTACCTATAACAGGCCAGACCAGGCGTTCACCTATCTGACACGCCCGGCATTGGACGCCGGAGACTGAGGGCATATGATATATGTATGTAGCCTTGAAATGAAAAATATTGAGGGACGTGGCGAGAGCTTCCGAAATTGCTTTGCTTTTTTATGTGGTAAGGATGAATTTCGGATGTGCTTATCTCGAATACACGAATGGCACATGTTTGGAAGTCTGTGCAGTGACGCAATCACTGTTGTCATCTGTGACGTTGCTTTACAAAATGTTAACCTTCCTTGAGCAAATTGGATTGTCTGGTTATTATATCGTAGATAATGCATTCATAATGTTAATTATGCGTTGCGATTTTTAGATAAAGCTTCGATGCTTGTAGTGAAGTTGAGTGATTTTGTCCCCGTCCTATACTTCAGGTCTCATTTTGGCCCAGTATTTGTTTAACGATGCCTCTCCGTCGGCTTAACACATCATCAACTAACAAAAGTACGTAATCAACACTTGATAGATGGCTCGCTCCCTGAGCTGTGCAGTGTATTTAATGGTGCGCGCCGGCCGGCATCTAATTCCACCCTGTAAATACAAGCACTCGGCGATATACGACACGGGGGTGGGCGCACGACAGCGATATTAATGTGCTTGTTTTTCCCTGCCTGGTCACCCGTTCGCCGTTTCATATTCACCCTGCAATGGGAGGTGATGCATCGTACTAAATTCAATTTGAGCCATTTTATGGTCTCGTCTTCGGATGTAATGTTTTTCGTTTTGCTGTCTAGTGTCAAGTTGAGCATAAATTTGTTTCAATTTGTGAGAAGCTGTCAGCTGGCTTCCAGTGAAAGAGAACTGTATTACTTTCACATTTCTTATTTTATGATCTGGTAAAATGGCTAAACTTTCTTGTTGAAAATTTGAAATTCGTTCGCTCGTTTTGAACTAGGCTTATTATTTATCCATCCACTTGCGCGAGGCTCTGATTGAGCTTCCCTGATCCCTGTTTTTAATACCTCACGTCATTCCACTGACGCCAAAAACACCGCTTATACGCGTTTTATTGACTCCTACCCGACCACGGCGGCTATCCTCTACCCGACGCCGGGTCAGCCCAGCCCTCCGCTCCACCTCTGCCGAGCTGTACTGGTTCACACTTTCTGTACGGGAAGCGCCGCTGGTATATCGCGGTCATCCTTCACGGCGGTGGCCGGCGTTATCAGCCCGGGCCGTCCGTGGCAGCGAGTGGTGAACCGTGTAACACGCTGGACGCATCGATAATGCACACATGCACCGCAGCAGGAGGGGCAGGTCAGGCAGACGCTGCTGCTTGGGAGTGATTACGGTGGTTACGGTACTTCATGCGGTACTCACTCTGAGGTTAGATTCAGGTCTGAGGCACTGAGCTGGTCGGGGCGACGGTGACGAGGCGGTGATGTTTTCTTTGTTATGTTGACACGGGTACCAGGTTGAGCACAGGCAAGTTACAGTTCATTTTCGCCTCTTATATATAAGCAATGACACTAAGTGTTGCGAATGTACGTACGCTGTTTAAATACAGAAGGAGTTGTTCACATAACCTACCGATTTCACATTTACTCTAAAGCATTATAAAATTCGTCATTCGTTAACAGTCATAGACAAAAGGCATAACAGCAAAGTAAGTAAGTAAACGTAGTTTATCATCAGACACGATTATGTAGTTTTGTTGCGAATTTCTAAGAAAATAATTCGCCCGTTAACCCGCGCCCTGGTGGGGTCTGTTTATAACGCGACCTGGTGGGGGGGGGCTATTTTTTGCCCCCCCCCCTCGTATCTCCGAAACTACTGGACGGATCCGCAAAATTCAAACGGCGTTCGAAAGGCCTGTCAAATTTGTCGAAGGAAACCAAATTTCATTGACCTCGGGGTCACCGATGACGTCACAGGTCAGGTCAAAGATAAAATGTTTCACCGTTCACGGGTCTTCTAGGGAATGCGCTATAACACCGAGGAAAACGCATTTTGTCGAGAATCAGCGGTAGGGCGTCAGTTGCCTAGTAGATATGTTGCTATTAGAGGTCACTAGCAATACCAGGTCAGATCACAGGTCAGGTCACCAAGGGTCACAGGTCAGGTCACATGAGCCCAACTTTACTAAGGTTGTGTGATACATGTTTTATGGCCAATTTTTCATTTCCAACTCAATGGTGTTGGTTATAAGACTATCAGGTACGGCTTAGGTCACTTTCTGGTGAAGGTCAGGTCAAGGTCAGGTCAAAGTCAGACCAAAAAAGGTCAAATTTTAAAGTTGATATTTTTGCATAAATTGGGTATTGATTCGATGCAGCTCGTCACGGGGAGTCTGATGGTGGTCTTTGTTTTGCGCTACGGGGTCTAGAATTGCTAAAAATTGAGTTTGAAAATTTGACGTAATCAATTTTGAACAGTTTTTTCGCTATAACTTCGCCAAAAAAGGAGGTATCAATCTCAAATTTAGTATGTGGATGGAAGGCGGTAAGGACTATCACATATATTCCGGTTTTTGCGAAATTCAAAAAACTTTTTGGATTTTTCGATTAGTATATCCAAAAAATCTATTTTTTGATTTTTGGGGGTCAAAATCCAAAAATTTCAAAAATCCGAGATAGCAGTTTTGTAGCCCTGTCCAATCTACAGCTTTTATGTCTTTATCATTTTTCTGTATTTGCAAAGCTATAGGCCTGACACCTCTTCCCGCGAAACCCTTTTTTGGGTCGAAAACGGCAGAACATGACGTCACTCTGACGTCATTTCCGGCCAACCTATCATAGCCTTTGGAAAAAATTTTTGGTCACAATGTGTAAAATTGATGTCCGGGAGGGTACTGAAAGTTTGGTGACGATCGGCGCAGCGGTTCTGGAGATATATCGAAAAGTCTGGAGGGAGGGCAAAAAATAGCCCCCCCACCAGGGCGCGGGTTAAGGCAAAAAGCTGCCATCGCGATACGAAGCTTCAATGAGCAGCCATTTAACTTGAGGGATTTGTGTGTAGAACGTACTGAATGACTTGCTGCCCCTCGATTTCCAGCAAACGTCATGCAAAAAGTTGTGTGGACGTGGATGTGAGGATTTCTTGCCAAACTGAAGATTGATTGCCGGAGTTTGGCTACTCATGTCGTGACATCCTGCTGTGTCAAAGTTTTCCGTCGTTGCTAACGGCGTTTTAGCAAAAGATACATTGTTGTTCTGAAGGCGCCATATTTAACGCTGCAATAAATGGTTTCCGATTTCTAAATCGATGTTTCTAAAAAGCAAAAGTTGTCCCATTTCACTTGTCTTCAACTAAAGGGCTCGGGCCGACATGGGCTGTTCGACCTGACGCCTGGTCGAGGTGATATAGTAAGAGTGTGATGCCTTTCGCTTTTCTTTTATTCTTTCAAATCGTGACCTTTGTTATTGGTGTGAATCAATTGGATGGAAACTGAGAATATTAGAAGGATGAAGAATACCCTGTTGCTCATTTCAATCAGAAATAGAAGAAAAAAAATATATATTCGGGCGTGGCCCTTCTTCAGTGGTACACAAGATCTAATATGTTTTCAGTCAGCTGTCAGGGCAAATGATACACATCATTCGGCCAGGTCAATTGTCTTGACTTTTTGCGACTTCCAGTTGGAGCTCATTTCGAAGAAATTGTTTATCATAGCCATAGCCTTAGTTAATGTTTTAATGTTCAAATTATGTCAGTCGGAGACATGCTAATTCTCAGTGAAGGTGTTTTATTAAGCCAGCAAATATAATTCAGCCATGATTAAGATAAGTAAATGGAAGGAGGTTTCATAGGCTTGTTTTTAGCTCAATAAAAACATTTGAAAATTAATAAGTACTGCTAAAACGTACTGCTCATGTAAGTACCCTCACGGACCTTGCTGTTTCCTATGCTCGACCCGTCCTCGGGGCGCCCTAAATGGGCCGACCAGCGCGTGTCGCTCAGGGGCGGACAGGCGGCCAGAGCTCCCCATTAGCGCTTTTATTCCGCTGTCGAGGCAGTGTCATGGGCCGGCACTGTTTCGGAGGAGGCCACTGGAGGCGGGGAGAAGTACAGAGCCTCGTTTCATAAAGCGAGTCCGTAACTTACGCCGTTTTTTGGGCTTGTATTGCAAGCGCGTGTAAAGCGATAAATTTATTTGCCCTTCTCCCTTCTGTTCTTGCTTGCAAGATAAATAAATTAAACGATTTAAGCTATTGTCATCGCTTCACATGCACTTGCAATACAAGACCAAAAAACCGGCGTGAGTCACGGACTGGGTTTATGAAACGATGTCAGCTGAGGTCGGTGGTGAGCGAATTGCTTGGTTGGCGAAGTTCGGGCGGTAGGGGCACCGTAAAACAGCGAGTAGCTATACCAATGGATTGGCAGGTGCAGTGGAGGAGTGGCATAAGGCCAACGTGGAAAGACTGAGAGGGCAAGTGGTGATTACAGGGACAACTGGAGAGAGGGACAGGAGGTAAAGTCATCTTGGAAGCGCCAGGGACAAGCGATTATCCTTTAGAGGACAGCAGAGACAGCGTGTTGCAGTTGTCAGGACTTCGCATAGGCAAACAGAACATGAGAGGTGTTAGAATACCGAATTTTGTACATCGTACTGAAAGCACGTGTAGCAGCATTCCTTTATCCGTTCCATTGCGGCTTTGCTCTGACATGCAACTTCTACATTGTATGCAGCGTCCCTCGCTGCAGCGGTCGACAGACCGTTTCATTAGGTTCGGCTGGAGTCAAACTCCTCTCCACCGGAGATATACCCTTAAATCACCGGGAAAAGTGTCCTGAGTTATCCCTTGTCTCCCAATCAGACAGCCTGTGCCAACTGAGACGGAATTAAATGTGAGTGACAATTATATGGTCTTTCAGGGGCCCTGGCACCTGGAAAGCATTTATCGGTCAGCCGTGCGGCAACGTAGTACAGTGCGATATATATTAACCGTACCGTAAAGTGAAATCTACCGTACCGGAGACAGGCGTAGTTGGCGCATGCGCCGTACGAGCGCATCGCCAGTCGCCTAGCCGCCATTGTCGCTTCAGAGCTCAACCGCAGCGGACACGAGTGGTTTCTGCGAGTGATTTCTTCTGTCGTGAGTACACATTACGGGCGTTATGAGCCACGCTTGAGAGCACAAGCAGCTATAGCCCGGTGAATTCCCTGTGTTGGGTGCGTGTCCAGGCTGCGGCAGTAAATCACAGTATCAGTTACGCCTCGCCTGCCGTATTTTTCCGGATCGTGTCCGTCAATCGGCGGTTGCCGTTGCTTACAAGCGCTATGCTAGATGCTCTGCCCCTGCTCTATGTATGGTATATATTTTTGCCGGCACCGTTCCGGCCCCGTGTCTGTTCCGTGTGGCGTCCGGCCCCAACGTGCTCTATGGTGCTTGTTCTGGGCCGACCCCTATTTCCTGGCCAGATGGTTCCAACATGGCGCATCTTCCCTTCCCTTCCACGGCGGCGGGTATCATCGGTGGGACAGCCGCGGGGCGGCGTGGTTCCACGGGACGGGATTGGTCGGCTCGGGGGCTACGTCATCGCACTTCCCGCGCCGCTCGCGCCACCTATGATCCGGCCGCTTTCCATTGTCTTTCATAGGGTCGGGTAGCTTTCGTTCGCGCAGCGGAAAGGTCCCGCGCGCCGGCATATTAGTCTACGGTCCGGTGGTGTAGTGGTTAGCGTCGTCGCGTTCAGCGCGGGGATTTCGGGTTCGATTCCCGGTTGGACCTAAATTTTTATAGGGCTTGGTTTGAGCCTCGTTAATGGCAAAGTTTTTTCACAGATTCTCTATTGCCGCTTTGGCGCGTGTGGGCGGTTTTCGTCGTACTTTCAGCCTCCAATTCCCGTTATGTTCTCGGCGTGTATCATTGCCTGTTGGCCCGTTCTATGTTGTGGTCGAACCCCTGCAGTTTGCAGCCGTCTGTGATGACGCTGTTGCGCCGGTGCGCGGTCTGCCGGTGGGCTGCACTGGCAGCCGGGGTGTCCAGCCCGCAGGTTGGGATGCGCTGTCTGTCCTGGCTCCGGTCCACCGTCCGGCGCGGTGTTCGGAGTCCCTGCCAGGGGCACGTGCTGGCCTGTTGCCAGCTATGTTTCCATCGCCAGGTGGAACCCGTCGGGGTGTTGCATGAGACCCTACAGCGGAACACATGACCGCCGCTCCCGCCGGTGTGACCTGTGGGTCACTTTCATTGGGATGATCCGTGAGCTTGACCCGGCTATTCGCCGTGTCGCTCCCCTGGTCCTGCTCGGTAGGCCCCGTGCACTACCAATGGGCCAGCGTTTGTTCCGTGATTTCCTGGCCCATACAAACGCCGTACCGTAAAGTGAAATCTACCGTACCGGAGACAGGCGTAGTTGGCGCATGCGCCGTACGAGCGCATCGCCTAGCCGCCATTGTCGCTTCAGAGCTCAACCGCAGCGGACACGAGTGGTTTCTCCCACCACCGGCCCCATGCGCCCTGCCGTTAATTAAGGTGTTAGGTATTGAGTGTTTATTATGCGTCGCCTACCGGATTGTATTCCTGTGTGCCATGTGGTCACCTCACCAAAAAACCAGATGGACGTGAATACAGTCCCATTGTCACACTGCATCTGGTTTTGTTGCAAGCGCGAGCTCGACGGATAAAAATATGCAACAACACTGACTAATGCTGTACTACAGGTCGTCGTTCAGTATAAACATGTAAATTAAATTCCAGTGAGATCGATTGGAAGCTGTGTGGATTAGGGGCTTGATCCCCAGTTCTCCAGAAGGCATGCAGCCGTTGCAAGCATGCAATTTAAAAACTTATTCGTTTTGATTACGGGAAAATGAATCTTGTTTATCTCTAAGAACTATTTCAAGACGGTCAGAACATAGCTGTGTTGCATATATAGATGTAACATAGATGTTATGCTGGATGAATGCCTATCATCACTAAAACATTAACACTACGGTATCTATCTAATAAAAAAGTCCTATATGTACACACTTCCGCACCTAAATCTCGCACCAGAATACAATCATGGACAGCATCTAATTTAGTAACGGAGCCTCGCCTCATATGGAGGCTCCTTTATCGGCACCGTCCAGACCCTCCTGGGTCAGATGCGCCGCTGGGGTGTGCCGACAGGCCTCCTGTCGCGTCTCAACACGTGTCCTAGCCACTATCGGAGCAGACATCTACGGCTCCGGTCGTATCGGACGATTGACGTGACACCAATGGACGCAGCGAGCTGGGGACACGTACTTAGAGCTGTCGGCAGCCAGACATCAGCAGACATCAGCGGACATCAGCGGACATCAGCGGGACATCAGCGGACATCAGCAGACATCAGCGGACATTAGCATGATATCAGCGGGTAAGTTGAGGGACATCTTTAGGACACCGTACGCGTGGTGGACATATTTTGAGCTCTTCTCTCAAATTTAAACTCTTCTCTCTCTCCACTCCCTCTCCCTCTCCCTCTCCCTCCCTCTCTCTCTCTCTCTCTCTCTCTCTCTCTCTCTCTCTCTCTCTTTCTTCCTCTCTCTCTCTCTCTCCCCTCTATCTCCCCCTCTCTCTCTCTCTCTCTCTCTCTCTCTCTCTCTCTCTCTCTCTCTCTCTCTCTCTCTCTCTCTCTTTCCCCTCCATGCCGCTGACCAATGCCCTCACGGAGCCACTAACTTACCGTAGATCAGTACCCCAAGTACCCGGGCTCACGGGAAATTCCCCGACAAGAATGGATACTGGATGTTGGTGAACCGTGCCACACCTGCATAGCACTTAGGTCTGAGCCTCAGCAAATGTGAATAAATGTAAGTGAATTAGCAGCCATTTACAGAGAGAAGGTATGTAATTACCCTCTAATTCCCGAGAGTGTTCAGTTTTTTTTTCTCCTTTTTTGCAGGGAACAATTCCAATGATTTCTTCTTTAATAGGTGAAAAACGGGCTGGCAGTGGCGTTCTGAAGCTCCTTTAGCTGAAGCCCACACCTTAGGTCAGTTCGGACTTCGTGCTCCACAGCATGCCTCTGGCGACATGAGAACAAGCTCATTTGTGACGTCACTCCGACTGTGCCCGCAGTGGGCGGGAAAGGGGGGACGAGGGAGAGGGGAGGGGGAGAGGGGGCGCTCGAGCTCCGTCAGCCCCGGGCGCGCCAGCCCCGGCAGAAGAATGTGCTGACTTGGGTACCAGCTTGCAGCACCGCCAATGTAGACGAGAAACGTGACCCGTTCAACAGTGACGGGGCAAAGTGGAGCATCGGCGGCGCACAGAACCCAGGCAGCCACACCCTGTAGCGCAGGTAGCTCAGATGAGGAGAGATGTTGTGTTGATTTTCCTCACCCTTCACTAGTTCTCATAGTTCATGGTGCATCGAAATCTTTGGTTTAAGTGGCACTATCAATTTTCGAAGCCCTTGACATTTTTGCGTCGAAAGGTTAATGTTGCCTACGTGTTATATAAAACAACCTAACTGCATTATAATTTGCCATGGTATTTACACATACCCAACAGCCTTTCAACCATATAATAGACTCGTGTTAACGATTTCGATCCCGAAAAAAATGTTCTTACATTAAAGTCTTGAAAGAAGCATTCGAAATCACCAGTGCATTACATTATCAGTGGCACTGCGAACCATGACCAGTTTGCTGCTGGGGCATTCCACGATAGATCGTACCACTTTTTCCAATTTGACACCCTCATCTCTCGGAATTTGACGAGAATTGGTCTCAGAGGTAATCAGGGGCTCTGAATCCACCTGTAACAATTTCAGGCTTATCAGATAAGTGTTTTTTGAGTTATGGTGTATAACATTTTTTGGATCTTGCTTTGCAGCGCTAAGTTTGGCGGGCTGTAACTCTAAGACGGATTATTCAAATGTCAAATGTTATATAACATTGAACTTGCAATGAAACAGAGATTAATGTGTATTTTTGAAATTTCGAAAAATACGCTATTTTTGATATATGACATATCGAGTTTTCTTTCATTTGTATTTTTTGGACTTTGGGACCAAATTTTTTTGAATTTTTATTTCTTTAAAAAAATATGTGGCTCATTGTTAAGAAGTATGCCAAAAATTAGGAAGGTGTTCTTTCTATAAATGTATTTATTTTACGTCACGATAACGGTTTCGAATAGTGATTTCGGGAGGGGAGCTTATAAATGGCGTGGTAAAGCTGCCTAGTGACATCACGGGTTACTGAAATTTCAATTTAAGTCTGAGTCATCTGAAAAAGTGAAAAGAGGGTTCATCCAACCCTCTTTCCTATAAGCGCGAGGGTGAAAAAGGCTGTTTGGTTCTGACTTAGATTTGGACGCCAATGACCATAGCTGTGCGAGATGAAAGTTACAGGACGCAATGCGTCGGACGCATACATGGTGTCCTCCAGAGGTCTCACAACTTGTATATCTGGGAATTTTTCAAGGTTACATGAGGTCAGGTCGGTCACGTGACACCACTGTTATAAATCAATGGGAAAATATAAAAACTGTTATTTTGGCGCCGAGAATGATCTAAAACTATCCCACGTACATGCTATCGTGATTTCATGCACTCCTTGCAAAGTCCAATGCTTTACTTTTGCATTGTTAACCTTGCGTGACGTCATTTATGACGTCACTAGGGTCGTACGAGTTTTTCGTCAATATCTCCCGATCAAATGGAGCTAGAGAGTCGGGAAAGCCACCAATGGACTCGGGAAGACCTTCCGAATCGAATGATATGCCATATGATACCCTTTGCCCAGCTTCGTGACCTGAGGGGCTCTGACCTGACCTTGATCCGAGGTCAACTACTTAAGTTGACCTCACCCTAGCAAAAAAAGTATACCATTCGATGCACCTGAGCTAGGCGAACACAATGATGCCAAAATCGCGGCTCTGCGGCCATTTTTTGCGAAGTTATTTACTAAAAACCGAACCCGTAACTTCAGTCACGTGACCTGACCTCAGACGCTACCGGTTGACCTGAGACCTTAAAATCGGGTACCAATCGCTGCGACTTGTAACGGCACACACGCTCGTTTTTTCCGCGAGGCTCTAGCTCTATTAGAAGCGAAACGGC